AGTGCGGTTGACACCAGTATTGTCATTCTCGCGTGACTTATCACGTCCACAGCTGGCAAACTTCTTTCTTCACACGACGTACCGTGTCATTAAATCAAATTAATAGGTGCATTTTCTTCTCTATATGCATGCCAAACACGGGCTTCTTGGAGCAAGTTACAGCCTTTCTTTTGAAGAGTGCTTTTCATCTTGGTAGCTTGCAGTTGAGCCTGAGATAGCCTTTCACCAACTCTCCTATACTAATTAACTGACTGCTTATTCAAATTTGCACGCACAATAGGGTAGCACGGAGTAAGGAATGGGACTGTCACATTCTTTTCCATTCTCCGGAAGTTAAACTAAACTAATTTCACGTGTCAGCCAAGTCCTTAAACGAAGGTACAATTAATTTAAACACAAAAAAACATATTCGTACCCTGCGTAGAGGATACGGGTATTCAATCAGTTAGGAATTGTGAGGTAACATACAGGGAAATAATAGGTGGTGAGAATATGTGTGCGCGCTAACTAGAGGAAATAGAGAAAACAAAGGTATTTATGCATATAAAATCTTTGATAAAAATAAAAATATTATATTAAGCATGAGCACTTACTAATCATTTTAAAATGAAACCGGAGCAAACTAAACTGGACACAGAAACCGAAGCCCCCCATTAGTAATAAAAGTGGCCCTACGCATAATTCAAGGAGATAGGGTAAATGTTTATCTATGCAAATCCCACGACTTATTTGTGCACCAAAGAGGTAAATTCAAAAAAAGTATTTGGGCGCGGAAAGATGAACCCACCGATCTTACGCCAAAATCTAGGGGAGGCACCTGTAATTTCAAAGAAAGACGTCCTTTGGGAAAACGAGTAAATTTATTCAGTAAAATTTCGACACTGGATCCCCAGGTCATCGTCAGACTTGAGAAAAATGTGCAAAGAACAGTTCTCATTTCAAAGTGCTGATACAATTATATAATCATCTGATGTGGGCGTTAATTGGGAGTTGCAATTTGCGTCACATCGTGGTGGACATGACTAGCAGTCGCTATGGCGTAATGGCTAATTGGCAATTATAATTTGAACCAGTCCAGATCATCTGGTGTGGACGCTTATTGCAGTTCATGTTGGTCCAAGCTTGTCGGCTGCAGTCTCTTCCACCTTTCTTTGAGGTGTTTGTACACTCCAGCTAAATTGATACGCCGGTTGATGCATGAATCATCGGAGTGCACGGCCTAAAGAAATTCTCGACCTTTTTTGGAGGAGCAAACTCCAATGATGCGTGTTTTGTTCCATGCAAAGTTATGTCCTGTGTCAAGGCAATGCATAGCCACTTCGGACAAAATGGTCACGTCTCTTCACTGCCAATTGGTGCTCATGGATGCGTATAGAGACAGATCTTCCTGTTTGGCGACAATATACCGTGTCAAAAGATTCACATGGGATTTCGTAAATGACTTCTTTCTTATCGAGGTAGCCAAAATAGGACTTGTGGCGAGTTTTCAAGTAAAATTACGTTTTTTAGAAATACTAACTTTTTAGAAAAGCAGAAAATTCCGAAACAGTGAAAACCTGGCGTACAAGGCAAACCTAAGTTTTAAATGTAGAGGAAACCTGTTCATGCACAAAAAACCGAGTGAACAAAGCAGCACGAGTAGAACTTCGTTGGAAAATAGTCATTTTGTGGAATTCTCGGATACACATGCTTCCATATTACGTGCTATTTAACGTATGGTCGTTACCGAAGAGCCCAAAGTATAATTATGTATTCCAATACGGTTTCATGAAAATTGCTTGTTGTTCCTTCGGTTTATACATTGCTTAAGTTATGCTTGAATAAGGCGACCAGATTATCGGTTGGTTTTGCAGATTGGGCGGTCAGAGGAGTGAGATATTACGTAAGATCGCGTGCGGACATGCTGGTCAGTGACCAATAAATTTAAACCGAATTGTCAGGTGCCATCGTAAACATACCATTTGCGTTGTAAAGAAGAATAAGACCTGAGCTCTGCCGTTCCATAGATCGCGTCTTTATCTGTACATTAAGAACCTGGGGCATGCGTATTTAGTTTTTATTTGTACCATTTTTGTGTGTACTAAAATTAATTTCCTTCTGTCAAATTTCTTTGAAATTATTTGGCGCATTTAATTATGACGAGGTTCAGATCTTTCTTGAAATGGTGATTAACAATTTACAAATTTCACTGACTTCAGGCGATTGGTCATAAATAAGGATTATATTCTGCGTGCTTACCAAAACCTTGATAATAAGACACTTATTAAACGCATTTACCTAAATTTGGAGTTTTTGGGCATTCTTTCTAAAACATCTGTTTGTGTGGCTCACAGTTCTAGAGTTACCCAAACATGTCAGTTAATTGCCGAGAAGTTTAGGTCCACAGCATAGAAACTTCCTTAGAGATCGACAAATTGTGGATTTTGCCAACATCTGCGCCTATTTCCCTTCAATATACCGATTAGAAATGAAATCTTTCCTATTTAACAGTAGTTGGTGCCTCAGTTACATTTACTGAATAAAATAAACAAATTCAAATGTTTTTCGAGCCATCCTACTGTACATAGGGACTCGTTAGTTGGACAATGTTGGCAATAGTATAAACCAGTGAGGTCAAGTGTATTTCCTCTTCGTTGCCTGCAACGAGAAACAAGATGCCTCGGTGGTTATTTTAAAGCACACAAGACTGTGGTTTGGTTTATACAAAGTATAGGGAAGTCGTAGTTTAAGAATTTTCAGCCAGTTGTCGTCAGTATCAGTTGATTGATTGACTGATCCTAGGTTACGCTTTTGATCTCAGATCGTCTGAAGTTTATTCTCCGGGCTGAGATACCGCTCCAGTTGGCTGATTTGTGGTCAATTCGCTTCTTTTAGGCAAGCATACACTTACTCGAATGACAGACTGATGGGTAGCTCATTCTCCTCATTACTTCAGGGTGGTGTGGTTGGTTTCCTTGCAAGCTTGGCAACAGGCGTCACTCTGACGATCGGTTCCCTCTTCGGTACCTACCACCAAATCCCTGAGGTGCCCCTGACAAATGCCAACTGCAGCACAAACGCGAGCACTGTCTTCACGCCCATCATGCGCGGAACTAATGTCACTGCGTCCAACGACATCCCCTTCAACTTCTTCAATCTCTCCTATCTCTACTATTCGCCAGTTTGCCTGCTCGTGGGAGTCATCGTCGGAAGTCTGGTTAGCTGCGCGACGGGTGAGCTAGCCAGGTTTTCGCTGTCTGTGGTGTAGAATGTTGCGGCCTAATGCTTTAAAACCTTTGCTAGCACATTACAGTCTTGTATTATGAAGCCGGCTGATTGCAGAATTTATTTGTGAAAAACTCGGCACGCGAGGTCACCGTGTTCTTCGCAGGTGGGTTAAATGCATTATTAAAATCTGTCAAAACCCCCTTACTGTTATAACGACGAGTTCTGCGTCGCTAGTGTTGTAACGGTAGCATCGGACGTGTGTCACCGTTGAATTACGCCCTGTTGAAATCCCCAAGGAAGAACACAATAAGAAAGGCGTAATTCTGGAATCCACTCGGAAGAGGGTTTTTTGTGTACAAAACCCAGAGTTGCTGTCTCAGGTGGTGATTTCCGCTGGTTGATCTCTAGCGTGCTGATGTTCCGCCTCGGGTCTGACCCCGGCCACAGGAGCGGCCTGGCAGTGTTTTCGTAGTCCGGTGTGTGATGCAACTCTCCTGTCTGCTAGGGATAGTGGCTTATAAGAGATTGTCTGCGCGTTCTCCTGTGGCCTGATCGGCCGCATTGGGACAACGTCACGCGACCAGTTGCGCCTTGCGTAGGCTCGCGTACGTAAGTGCGTGTCCGGTCTAAGATCATTGCTCGGGCCCAGCTCAGCGAACGCATATGACCTTGGAGGCAGTCAGCTATTGGACAAAGGAATCATTGTGGCGGTCGGCGGCAGGCACGACGCCTTAGGAGAGCCGACAAGGTTGCTAGCCGTTAGTCAGGCTACCGTCCTAACACTTATTATTCCAGAATTTTCGCGTAGACGTCTCATCAGTGGTTGTCTGTATAGTTCTACAATCATTTGACCGAATCCCAAGTTGTAGGTAAATGGCTGACGGTACCACAATGAGGGATGTCTTGTGC